AAATGTAGAAAATCATAGAATTAGAAAATCACCACTGAACAATCACTGTGGTAATAACTGATTCATGCAAGAATGGATACTAAAGTCATGGAGTGATAGACTGTTGTGGAACAGGATACCCATAAAAATCTCATAGGTTACTTATTAATTACAAAAGAAATAAGGGTAACTTTACTGTGGGGAAATCTGGCAGACGCCACCTGAATCAGGGTACTAAATTATATGAATCATGACACAAGCTACATCACGTACCACCTATTGAGACATTCCCAGAAAGACGCACCATCACTGATGTGGTTTTCATGATTAGAGGTTTACCTGGTTCCAAATATGAAGAAACAATCAGGCAATTCAAATTGAGGGATATTTTATGAAGAAATTGGTCTGAAGTCTTCAAAAATATCAATGTCATGAAAGGTTAAAAAAAAAAAAAGACTGGGTTATTGCTCCTTGAATAGATAAAAAGAGACTAAAAAGACATCTCAACGAAATGTGCTTGTGTGATTTTTGGTTGGATCCTGTCTTTGTTCTCAAGGAGACATATGCCAATGTATTTAGGGATAAAGTTTCACAAGGTCTGTAACTTACTCTCAGAAAAGAGAGAGACAGCAAATATTGAAAACATAAACATTTGGCGAGTCCACGTGCAGGGTGTATCGATATTCATTGTACTGTTCATGCAAATTCTCTGCAGGTTTTAAGTTCTAAAAAAATAATTCAGAGGAAAGGAAACATATCTAACAAAAATTATATAAAAGTCGTATGAGCTTTGGAAATGTATTTATGAATTTATGAATAGGATTGCACCGTGTACTTTGTTCCTATTGAATAGCACACATGTTTTCTAAGCAGTATATTAACTCAGTGACATGTATTTACATTTTACAAGAAAGTAAAAAAGGCTATAATTAGATGAACAAATTGTGGAACCATTATAGAAGTAATGAACAGAAAACACTGTTTAGTACTTCCGAGGAGACTAATTTTTAAATGGCCCCAGCTATATTTTTATCTAATTGTTTTCAATCCTCCTATTTTATTTTCATTTTTTATTACACAAAATTTAGCTACTTACTCACTGTCACTTGGACATTCTAAGGGTCTAATATCAGCTAGGTTGTAAGCAAGTCTGAATGTTCCGTAACGTCACTGTCCACCTGCCTTGGAGTTTCCTATCTCCAAATAGAAAGTAAGAGGTAGAAATTAGTTTTAAATTTCTGTTCATTTTCTACTAATTACAAAATCATACACTATGTGATATTCCTACCCGGAGAAGAGAAGAGTGAGAGTCTTAACTCTTTCCCACTCACCGTTTCCTCTTCCTTTTCTCTGGCCTCAGGTGACCTGGCAAGCGTCGGGTATGATTTATGACTCCTTGGATCCAGCCTGGGTCACCTGGAACAGCCGGCCATAAACTGTTCACTGGTGCTTTTCTTTCTTCTTTTAACAAGTTTACCTTTCATTATTCATATTATTGGGTTTTCTGCTTTCTTAATTACTTTATTGAAGTGTGATTTACGTATCATAAAATTCCCCCATCGTAAGTGTACAATTCAACTACGTGTTTGGAAACTTAAAGAGTTGTTCAAAATGTTTTTGAACCTTTCCATCACCCCAGTACGATTCTGTTTACAGTTAATGCCTGTTCCTGCTCTCAGCCTCAGGCAACCTAAATCTACTTCCTGTGTCTATAGATGTGCCTTTTCTGGACATTCCATGCAAATGGAACTTTACAGTATACGGCCTTTGTTTCTGGCTTTTTTCTCTTAGCACAATGTTTTTGTTTATCCAGCTTGTAGCAGGGATTAGTGCTTCATTCCTTTTTATTGTTGAGTAGTATTGCATTTGAGTGGGTATATCAATTACCTTTCTCCATTCACTGAATCCATTGCTGGACATTTGGGTGGTTTCCAGTTTGGGGCTGTTGTGAATAATGCGGCTGTGAACATTTGCATGCGAGGCTTTGTGTGTTCAAATGTTTTCATTTCTCTTGGGAAGATACCTGGGAGAAGAATTGTTAGGTCATATGGGGAATAACTTTTTAAGGAACTATTTCCCAAGGCAGCTGCACCATTTTACACTCCCTCCGACCTTTGTGCTGAGGGTTCCCGTCACTCCACACCCTTACCAGCATTTCCTTTCTGCTGCCTTTTTATTATAGCTCTTCTGGCGGGTGTGAAATGTTATTTAATTGTGATTTTAACTTTCATCTCTATAATGACAGATTTCGGAGCATTTTTTATGTGCATATTAACTTCTTTTATTTATCTTCCTTGGTAAGCTAGCCTTCAAATCTCTTGTCCATTTGTAAAATTGGGTTGTCATCATATTGTTGATTTGTAAGAGTTTGTTTCAGGATATGAGTCGTTTATCAAATATCAAAGTCGTTTATCAAAATGATTTCACAGTATTTTCTCCAAGTCTGTAGCTTGTCTTTCCATTTTCCTATGGTGTCTTTTGAAGAGCAGATTTTGAATTTTGGTGAAGTGCAGTGTATCAGTTTTTGCTCTCACCAATCATGCTCAGTGGTGCTTTTTGAAAGGAAGAAAATTCAGTAGCTATGTGGATAACAGGGATGCCTTTCACCTGCATTTTGGTGTTTGTGAAGATTGCTCCACTTGTGTGTGTAGACGTTTAAGAACCCTTGTTCTGAGACATTCCGAATGCTGTGCACACGCAGAAACCGTTAGCATTGTCCAGGCTGCTTTGGACGCCGACCAGCACACAGAGTCACTGGCAATGCCTGCCTCGCCTGCTCCTATGACAGCACGGTCTCTTGCTGGTCAATGTCCCTTGAAAAGCATCACAATTTCTATGGCTCTGTGGAATGCTGTTTTCCTGAGGTTAGTTTTTTTTGTTTTTTTTTTTTTACGGTACGCGGGCCTCTCACTGATGTGGCCTCTCCGGTTGCGGAGCACAGGCTCCGGACGCGCAGGCTCAGCGGCCATGGCTCACGGGCCCAGCCGCTCCGCGGTATGTGGGATCCTCCCGGACTACGGCACGAACCCGTGTCCCCTGCATCGGCAGGCGGACTCTCAACCGCTGCGCCACCGGGGAAGCCCCTGAGGTGAGTATTTTTAAAAAAGGTTTGCAATTCCAGAATATGAGGGCAATCCAGGAAAAGTACCGCTGGGGCTGCTTCTAGCCTCACTGTGAATTTTTCCACGCCTTAGAGCGGGGGTCCCTGTTAGGAACGGGGCCACACAGCAGGAGGTGAGTGGCGGGCGAGCGAGCAAAGCTTCATCTGCCGCTCCCCATGGCTCCCCATCGCTCGCGTTTCTGCCTGAACCCTCCCCCACTCCCCGGGTCCCTGGAAAAATTGTCTTCCACGAAACCCATCCCTGGTGCCAAAAAAGGTTGGGGACCGCTGCCTTAGAGCATCTTTAAAGATGTTCCAGTGATTTTTATGGGTATGGACAGAGGGTGCTGAGGCTAGGTGGGTAGACCACAGTGGGTACGCATGCACTACCTGTTCTTCTTGGTGGTCAATATTGTACCAGGCTGCTTGTCCTCTGTGCCACCAGAAGCTAGAAATAGTGTGACACAGCAGAACTGCACTTCTGTCGTTTAATATTAGAAGACAAGTAGCATGGGTTCTTTTAATTGACTTTTCCTTTAGGACAAATAGACATAATTGAAAACCTTCTCTCTAGTAATCAAGTGACAGATACTTATTGAATACACATTGTGCACGAAACTTATCTGCGTGCGATGACTTCCAACCTGGACCTCTCCCCTGAAGCCTAGGTTTCTATATCACAACCTGTTCAACTCGGATGTCTAATAGACCTGTCAAACACTGAGGGCCTGACGTTTACCCCCAGAGTTACTCCTCCCATGACCTTCTCCATCCCAGTCAATGTCAACTCTCCTTCACGTGCTCAGGAAAAAAGATGGAAAGTCATCCTTTCCTACCATCTTTCCTTCACTCCCTGTATCCAATCCATCATAAATCCTAGAGTTTCTAAATGGAATATGAAATCCTGGATGAGATTCCAACAGAGAAAAGGGACATTAGGGAAGAACTCATTAAGTCTGAATAAAGTATGGAGTTTAGTTCATAATAATGTATCAGCATTGATTCATTCATTGTGACAAGTGTACTATACCCATGTAAGAGGTTAAAAATCCGGGAAATTGGGTGCAGAGCATAGGGGGACTCTCTGCTATCCTTTCACTTTTTACCTTTTCTGTAGATCTTAAACTACTCTAATATAAAAAAAATTATTAAGGAAATATGCAAAGGAGCAGTTTCTGCTGACTTCTAGTTGATTAGAGCCTGCGGCTGGTTTGCTGGAGCTGAGGGGACAGAAAGTCTGCTTCCACTGATTGGATGGTCTGGGTAGAGGGTACTGTCAAATTAGCCGAAGGCCATACACATGGTTTTCTTTGGGTGTGGGGATTGGTCACCTTATCAGTACTTTTTCACAGTTTAATTACTCCAAGGAAAATTGATAACCTCAAATAAGTTCAGTCTTTTCATAACAATTGTGTCACATAATTTATCTTTCACAAATACATAATATTGTTTAGGTATTCTTCCTGAAGAACAAAGTTCTCTAATCCTAGAAAAATACCTAACGTTTGGCTTTTTAAAGATCTTGCTATAATTCTTTATATGCTACTCAAGATGAAAACGTATTTTTATTTTATATGGAATACATTGATCTGAATTAAAAATAAGGACTTTTTTTTGGAAAAGCAAGAGGGCACTAGAGACTGGTGTTGGGTTAGGGAGTGGAGGGGTTGGCAAAGGCTCTGAAGAGGTGAAAGTTAAAGAATTGCAGGATCGCTTGTATTATTAGTTTGATTTTCTGGGGAATCAAGGCTTTATGCAACTTCAGTAAATCTAGGCATCCACTGCTGTTGGGATCAGGCAGGTGGTTTGCCGGCACTGGATTCTCTTTCCTTGGCCTGTGATGGAAGGCAGGGGAAGGCAGAGTGTCGCTTGTAGGGAGAGTTTATTATTGTTCTTGTGACTCCCCTTCATGCCTGTGCCTTTGAACTTTCCCTGCAGCTGTAAACAGCTGGAGATGTTGCAAATAATTTTAAGGACTTGCAGAGTGCTTTGGCCATCAGAAGCTCTCTCCATCTGTAGTTGGATGTGTTCAAAGTGTAAGGCGGGCAAAAAAGGTGGCTGTGCGGTTCCCTCACCTAAACCCTCTGGCTGGAAGCGTGCCCTAAATGCCAAGTCTGAAACGGGCAGGAGAGCAGGGCGTCTGATGGCAAAGACAAATGCAGCGTTGTAGTCCTGAGTGTGTTGCCACCCTGACGGGACGAGAAGGTGAAGGTGATATTTCATCCACTGTTACGGTCTGTCCTCTCCTTACCTGACCTCTGAAATGGAGCCGTCAGCTTTGAAAAGCCTGGTGTCTAAAATTAATATTCTTCCCCATCTGACTAAGAAGGCAACAGCTGAGCAACATGAGATCAAGGACCATCTGAGTTTAAACAGGGGCTCAAAGTGGCATTTGAGAGAGAGGATACTTCCTCTCAGAGTGGACACTTGTCTTTTCAGAAGACTTACTCTGACAGTGAGTCAAGACTTTTACCAGGGAATTGCACAGTTGTTTTGAACTCTGCAAACTCCCTTTTATCTGCTGGAACTTATACTCTGCACTTGGAATGGTCTGGACCCCAGCATGTCCTCCTATAAATGGTAATTACTCTTATTTTCTGTCTTTCTACATCACCTTAAACAACAAGTTGTACCAAACTCCAGGTAGAGCCTAACGTTTAATATTTTCTCTGCAAAATTTTTATATCTTGGACCCAAGCTTTTGTTTTAATATGCTAATTTTATGTGGCTTCCTGAGCCAACTTGAATACCATCTACAATTACATATTAGATTTTAGTTGTAGTTTGTCTTAGACGTAGTCATGAAATCCTTATTTTAATAATAACTGTTTTCAGGGCAAATTGTAAGAACACTGATGACGGTCTATGGTGTATTTTACAGAGCTCTGGCTGACCCTGCTTACATTTGAATGTGTTTAAATGTAAGGTCTTTGTGTGGTTCAGTAGAAGTTTGTAGAGCATTGGATTTTAAATAATTTGTAACTCAAGGTATTATTTTTACTAGCTGAGTTGAGAAAATGAAAGACGACGTTTCGTGGAGCTAATTACAGATGATTTCAAATTGAGAAAAAGCTGGAAGAAGCAATTTCCAGAAGATCTCCAGCAGGGGGCCTTAGGAGGGAACTGGCCACAAGTTCTCATCAGTCTCCCCTAATGATCAGGAGATGCCCAGGCACATACATACGCGTGGATCTTTAGTATCAGAGCAGTAGAACAGGTATTACCTACATTTGTGAGGGAAGTATTGCAAGGAAAGCACAAGGGTGTGAAACCTTTGGTACTTAGCTGCTAATGAGGCTGCAAAGAAAGGTATCTGGGAATCTTAATCTATGTGAGAGGATTATTAGGAAACAAAGTTCTTTTTAAAATAAGCACCAAACAGTTTAAGATGTAGGCAGAGAGGGGCTCTGGAAATGGCTCATTTGGTGGAGAGCACTCCTCCAAGGGCACAGAATTCCCGGGGGGAGCGCCAGAGAGCCCCTTCCTTACACAGCAAGCCCTTCCCACCAGGGCCAGGAGGAGCAAAACCAGCAAATCCAGTTAAACCCAGAGAAACTTTGTATCCCATACTTGTACGAGCCACTTAACATAAACACTTATTTTAGGTAATGAGGGAAAATTGTAGTTGCCCAGTGAAACTTAAGGTGGCGTCTTACTGTTTGCTTTTGTAGAAAAAAGTGGGGAAAGAAACCTTTTTCCTTTCAGAGTTTCAGCATTTGAAACTTAGTATTGATATTTGCATTTCTCTTCCTAATTTTGGGTCCCTTCTGTTTAAATAGAAGCGACTTCTAAATTCCCAGTGGTCATTTTCCCACAGAGTCAAATGTGTGAGTCGGTGATGAGAACTCTGTTTCTCCTCCTTGCAGTCAAGGGGAAGGCAGACTCAGAAGTCACGACTGCATCCTGATTTACAAATCGGAGGCGGAGGGGCACGAACACCACACACCAGGCAGGAACTTAGCCGGACTCACCAGCAAGATGCTGAAAGTGAAGCGGCTGGAAGAAATCAGCACGTGTTACCATGGTGACCAGCTGGAGAAAATGGCCTTTTTTCAGTGCATGGAAGAGGTGGAGAAAGTGAAGTGTATTCTGGAAGAAAGTTCTAGTGAACAGGATTCGAAATCTGGGAAGAGTGAGGTAACTGTGCTAATTTAGGCTCCTGAAAAGTGTCAGTTCTACTTTATCTTTTCTCACATAAAGCAATACCTGTTGCCATTTATACGACCGTTTTCTGACTCTGTTTGGTCACTTGTGTAGAGTTAAGGAAACTTCATGAACAGGCAAACTTCCATTTTGTTTCATGGAGGTTTACATATAGGTGGGTGTAGGAAGTCATTAGGAGACCTTTGAACGTGCACCCCTCCCTTGCAGGCAGCTCCTCAGCCCGGTGGCTGGTTTACAGGTTATGATGGTGAACGTATGGAAACACACATTGCTTAGGAAGGATGGTTTAAAAGGATGGGTTTGGGCATGAAATCCAGAGAAGCACTGCGAGGGCCACAATTGCCCTGCAGAAGTTTCTAATTTCTTCAGGACCCTGAGGTCCTCGCTGTTGACAGTGGCGGTCAGAGTCAGGGACAAGCCCTTGCCGCTGGCACACCTCGTGCAGAGCCCCATTTTGGCCACTTGCTCTTTGGGGCAGTTACTAAACCAGCCCCGGGGCTACCTGTCTGAATAGTGGGGCCGTAGCTGTTGGAACATTGAATGTATGTAAAGCACTCAGCACAGGCTGTCACCAGGGTAGGCGTTCAGTAGTTGTCAGCCGGCAGCACCCCGTCCCCTGTCTGAGCTCGCTGGGTCTCCCTCACCATCCACGGAGCACCCTTCCTGCCCGCCTGGCGTGGGCCTCGCTCTAGCACCTGCAATTGTTTGGAACTTGTTTGTCACCCTTCTCTGGATGCCCTCCTCAACGTCAGGACTTCGCATTCACTCCACCTTGCATTCTTGGCTGCTTTCCTGGTCACGGCACCGAATAGGCACCAAGAATGTTTGCAGAACGAACAGGTCTATTTACGTGAGTCCTGCATTCTGGTTGAGGGCTGGGGATCATTATTTTCAATAATCAGAGCAAGTGATTCTTAGGTAGGTTTGGGGTACGTCCCTCTTTGTCTGGCTACTGTTCTGAAAACCCCTGTCCAGGTAGGAAGGGCATTTCTAACGATGCAGTAGACAATGAACTAAAGCTGTTAGATGTAAGGGGCGGAGGACTCTTTTCATCGTGAATGTGTAAAATGTACTGGATAGAAGAAACGAGTCAGGTGGAAACGTGGGTGTTTTGAGACTCCACTTTCCTGATGAGCTAACATCTTGTTCAGCAAACACCAAGAAGAAACTTCCACGGGCAAAATTTAAGTCAGATATGACGGCTTCCTCATTAGAGCTGCTTACAATACAAATGAATACAAATGAATGAAATCTTCTGTTCACTGATTTCTGTAGAACAGAGGAGACACAATATTCTTACAGGATAACTGTGAAATAACCAACTACTGGCAATAGTTTCTACGAATTTGATTATGTTTCCAGGACTGTTTTTTCTTCAGGTTCTGTGACATAATTTTTGTAAGTAGAGGCCGTATCTTTAAAGAGCGAAATGGTGCTTAGCAGAAACATGAACATTTTTAGGAAGAATTGTTTTTGTGATGAACTGCTCCAGAATATTAGAAATCAAATGACTGGGAAGTTAAATATTTTAGGATATTTTTGAGGGAAGCACTGAGAATGTTGTTCCTCAGAGACCCTAGAAGAACGTCCTTTGTGATTGGTCTGATGTCCCCTGTGTCACCTGGGCCCTGGCGTGGACCCTGCGGTCACTGCTGTGTGGAAGGTGGGGAGGAATGACCGTGTGTCCCATTCAGTTTCTTCTTGGTAAATGGCTCAAGGCCCAGAGATGTCGGCAATCTCCCCGGCTCTCTGTCTCGCCTTGTGGAGGACGGATGGGCACATGGTCGGGAGGTGCGGAGCTCTTCTCTCTGTGTCTGCCAAGGCCCAGGCCCCGGCCCCGGCCCCGGAGGCCCTCGCTCGCCCAGTGGGAGGATGCACGGGCGGCCAGCAGGCCTGGCAGGGGTGGGCAAGGAGGGCCTTCCAGCGGCTCGGATGTCCTCCGGAATGCAGACGGAGCTAGACTGACTCGGCTCAAACTCCTGCTGGGCCACGGGAGATCTTCACAACACCACACCCTCCTCCCAGGAACCATAAAAATGCTCGCATCATTTTCCCACCTGGCCCCCTTTCTCTTTACCCCTCCTCTCCTTGAGAAGCTTAGCTCAGCTAACCGTAGTCGAGACCCTCCCTGCAGTGCACTGACAAGAATTTACACTGAATTTCAGACACTCGAGTGACACGCAAACTGTTCTGAAGGCTTGAGGCTCAGTTTCTTTCTAGAAGAGTCTTTTCTCTCCTAAGAGGAAAAAATTATCTATGCATCCAACAACTTATGTTTGTTAACATAGTTTGGTGAAGCCCAGATTCTTCTTTTCCTGCTCTTAACCAGGTTTTTCTATTTCACTCATTTTTCTTCCTCTGGGTTTATTTTGAACTGCCTTCTTTTCCTCTGCTTTATTTTTTGTTGAATTGATTAAATTCCACATACTCTACTTTTCTACTATGTTTTGTTCGTTTTGTTTTCCAACTTTCCTTTTGATTCTGTTTTCAGTTGACTTTTCTCATTCTTTTATATTCCAAAGGCTGTTCAAAATCACCTAAATAGTGTAGAATTTTAAAGGCTTTTAGCAGATACACTATAATAAACTAGATCTAAAGCCACATAATATGGTGTTGAAATAAAGTAAAACTTAAATAACTAATGTGGCACATATGAGTGATGAGTTTAATAGCTACTGTGTATGTACCATTAACTTGTAAATGATAACGGCTCTCATAACTATAATTAGTATTACTTTTACACAGTCAAATCCAGGTTTTCCTCTTTTGTTCATTCTCTATTAGCTATATAAATAAGACCTGTGCTGCATTTCCCTCAGATCTAATTTGCTGTTTTGATACACACACACAAACACACACACACATTCTCTTTGCTTAATGGAAGGCCAAGGAGCTTCTGTTCTCAGACAACCCGAGGCCAAATCCCCACGGGTTCCGTCCGCCTTCCTTGGCCCGCCCCCATTTGCTGTATGCATCCCTGCCTTTTGTGCCCGGGGTTATCTGTGCTCATCTCCTGTCCTCTGGTTTCCCCCGCTTTCCTGACACCCCTAGCCCCCTACCCTCCACCCCCAGGCGTGGTCCCGAGGGGAGGGTAGAAGTGAGGATGGCCCCAAGGGGTCGGGATCACAGCCCCTGGAATGTTTAACCGCTCCAAATGCTCCAAAGACCGAACAGAACAAGATAGCCCTCAACAGGATGTGAACAGACTGCAGTGGGTTGGGGCAAAGCGTGATGGCAGTTGGCACATTTGATCGCAGGTGGCCTTTCCTGCCTAACCGCTATGAAATTGGACCCTCAGCGGCAGTCACGGTGACTATAACTTAGGTCTCAGAATAGCGTAGCTGCGGGTGGAGGGGTTGTGATGTTTAGGGCTGCGTGTCCCCACCCCGTCTCTGTGCTCCTCGCCGGACCGCGAGGGCAGGAGAAAGCTCCCTGGCGGCGGTCCAGTTTCCGTGGTGCTAATTGTCCTTGAACTGGAGACGAGCGCATTCTCGGGGGTGTCACTTGTCGCCAGCCCGTCTCCCTCTGCCGCTGCACCTGTTTCAGATCTGTCACACGGGCCATCCTATTTTCTCCTTTTAAAGAGGCAGATTGCCCGCTGATGGCGTAACTGGAAGAGTCTCCCTTGGGGCCCTGCAGAGCCCTGCGGCTGGGCAACGTCTCCTGCTCAGAGTAGAGTTTTGCTTGGGAACGTGCTCGCGCTGGGTCGGGGAGGGAAGGCGGGGATGGACTTCTCACTTAGAAGAAAAGACGTCTGGATCGTAGGCAGCGTGTGCCTTCTCTCGTCTCCCATCCTCTGGCGTGTGCTCCGGTCCGTGATGACACGGGGAGGTCGCAGACAGGCGCCTGCCCTTGAGGACACGCAGGTAGTAACGTCGTCACTTTTAACTGTGGCGGATCTGTGTTACTGTCCTATTTGAGTGTTTCCAGCCAGGGAGTGGGCTTGCCCTGCAGAGGGGAGGCATGTCCCGTCTCAGTCCTCGCCCAGGATGGCCGCCTTGGGGGTTGGGATGAGGAGAGGCAGGTGGCACACTTCATATGTCAACCTCTCCACCAACTTTCGGGGAATCTGGAGACAGCCATCCCTGACGTGCACTATTTTGGTCTGTGAGAGCTAAGAATAATGTCAGCATCTCTTCTTCTCTTACCTCTTATGTGACTTAGGAAAACAAAACAGCACAAAAGCAAAGCATCGTTTCCCCTTACAAAGAAGTCTATGCAAAAGCAGTGTCTGAAGAGTGATCACCTCTTCTGACAAAGCTACCGAGCACGGCCTTCCGTGTTTTTTCCTTTGAACCGTTGCCCCATGGTGCCTTTCCTGTGATGCCGTAGCTGTTCTAGGAATGGAATTCTGTCAGGAAAACAGTGGAATTCTGTAAGAATTCAGATTCTAAGGATTTTGGCTCTTCCCGATAGAGGGTATTCATATCTGGGAAATCAGTTCTTTCTACATATTTAACTCTTTTATCAATTAGCATAGATGAATTATTTTTAAGACGATATAAGGCAGTTTAGCAAATACTACACGGAGCGTGTTGGATCCTTGTTCCCACAGGAAGTGGACTGACAACAGCGTTCCCCGTCTTTCTCATCACCATCTCCCCCATTCCAGGGACCCCTCCCATGAAACCTTAATACCACAGATGCACTGTATTCATGTTCGTGTATTATAGGTGTATCTGTGCTTTGCACATAAGAAGAGTAAGATTTTTTTCACCCCTCCTAAAGAATTAATTTTTACCTCCTTGGATATTCCCTGTATTGAAAATGCCTTAATTTATGGTTAAAAAATTTCTGCAGGGGAGTTGGGTGATATATCCCTATACCTGCATATAAACGCCTGATTTATATCTTATTCAACAAGAAACCACCATGGGGACTTCCCTGGCGGTCCAGTGGTTAAGCCTCCGCACTTCCAACGCAGGGGGCCCAGGTTTGATCCCTGGTCAGGGAACTAGGATCCCACGTGCCAC